CCCCCCACCCCACCCCACCTACCAAGAAAAAACACACAAAAAAAAAATGATTGGGTGGGGGTGAAGTCACATTAATATTTGATCTCCACCATTGACCCAATTTGATTTATTGAAACCCAAATTATAGCCTTTAACCTAATACATTATTTCAGTCTTAACCTGATCTGAATTCAATTAAATAGGATTTATATTTTTCAACCCTAAGATAAGCCTTTTCTTGGTCAAAACCCTAAGAGAATCTTCAAACCGAACTTTTTGGTTGAATTTGAGATGGACAATACTTCCCACAAAGTATAGAAAATTTCACCTGATCTTCATTCTCCATTTCCCCTGATCTTTTGCCCCCATAACAAAATTCCTACTCCACCAATCAAATTTAGAAATTTGGCCTAAATATCCTTACTTTATCTCAAATTCACATCCTTTGGTACAAAAAATTTTCTGTACTAGACCAATAGTAATTTGTCATACAAGCCTATCATTCCCATTTTAAAACTAAAGCAATTTTTTTTTAAATGGTGTGGCAGTATAAAACACATACATTGTAGTATTTGTAAGAGTTAATATTACAAAACACATACATTGTGTATTTGTAAGAGTTAATATTACACCAAAGACCATTAATAAATTATTAGTTATTTAAAAATATGTTACTATAATAATTTAATTAAAATTAACTAATAAAATATTAAAATAATTAATTAATAAAAATTTTGTTTAATTAAAAATAATTTAATAATCAATTAATATTTCAGAATAAGATATTAAATTTATTAATTAAGTATGACTAATAATAAAACAAAATATTAATAATAAAATATAAATAAATAAAAATTAAAATATTATAATTAATAATTAATATAAAATTCATAATTGATAATAAAATACTAAATCATAATAATATTATTAGTTAATTAATAATTAACAACAAAATAGTTAATAATTAATTAATTAACAAATAATGAAATAATTATTTTACTATTAATAAAAATTTTGTTTAATTAAAAATAATTTAATAATCAATTAATATTTCAGAATAATATATTAAATTTATTAATTAAGTAATGACTATTAACAAAACAAAATATTAATAATAAAATATAAATAAATAAAAGTAAAATATTATAATTAATAATTAATATAAGATTCATAATTGATAATAAAATACTAAATCATAATAATATTATTAATTAATTAATCATTAACAACAAAATAGTTAATAATTAATTAATTAACGAATAATGAAATAATTATTTTACTATTAAAACAATTTAGTGAATAAATTAGAATAAATAATTAATAAAATAACTAATCAATGAAAAAATTATTAATAATTAAAATTAAAATATTAAAATTATTAATTAAAGGATATATATTAATGAAATAAAATATTAATAATTAAATATCAACCAATAAAAATAAAAAAAAAATAATTAATGAATGAGTTTATTAATAATAACTGATTAACTATTAATAAAATAAAGTTTTAAATATAGTATATTAAATGTATAATGCATATGTAATATATATAGCGTGGGTCGGGTCAAGTCTGAATCAATTTAGGACTAGGTGGAATCAGTTCCAACCCAATAATAATCGGAATAATATATCAGGAACTGGTCTAGTTCCTAGAACCAGAACTGACCCCAACCGGTTCGTGTGCATCGGGTTTAACCCGACCCCATTGATAGCCCTAGAGTGAGAGTGAGAAGGGTAATAAATGAGTAAAGAGAGTAATAACAAGTTTGTGGTAACATTGTAATTAGTGGTACTCTTGTAATTAGTAAATGCTCATGAACATCACACAAACCATTGGTGCCAAAAATGGCAAAATATTTCACACAAGCTCATTTGCTTGAAATGGAATATATGATGATTTGGATTAGTTGAACGCACTTAGGAGGTTGTAGAACCCCCACACCAACAATAAAAGGGTAAAATACAAAAGCTTCCCCACAATCATAAAAGCCTCCCCTTTAGTTTCAATTTATTAACAAGCACCTCCCCTGAACTTTTAAAAAGCTTGGCAAATACCTGTCTTCTATCACTAACCTAGACAAAAAGCTTTTAACTTATGCATTGGTTTTTCCAATTACCTATTCTACCCTTTTGTAAATTATTTTACATACAATTTTATTGAAATAACCCTGTTTGAAACTCGACAAAAACCTCCTTCGATCTCTTTATCCTCTTTCATCTTTCTTCTACGCTCGTGGACCATGGCAAGACTAGTGTGACTCTCTCTATCTCTATGTTTCTACTGTTGTTTTTTGTTGATTTCACCGTTTCTCTAAATCCTCCTCGGATCTCACCAGCCCCTACGCTTGACATCGAAAACCAGCTCCCTCTCCTCCAACCTATTTCCCCTTCCAATGAGGCTCCCACATTTGCACCTTCTATCCTGGCTCCTTCACTAGATGTTAGTTCTCCTGAAGACAAACACCCAGTTGAGGATAGTAATTAGGATGGAGTACTTATAGTATACTTGTAGATTGCTCTTCACTTTGGACAGATCAACTCTAGGAATTGTTTAGCTCTAGCCTCTATGACTGAAGAAACAGAGGACTAGTTTGGATGATTTGGCATCTTAATTACAAAAATCATTCTAAACAAAAGAGCTAAATTACTATTTCTCTTAAATACTGAGAGCATGTCCACCTTTGCCCGAAGATTCAATGTCTTGCTGAAATAGTCGTGTTCACTATGGCCAGAGCAAACACCATATGTTTTCCATGTATTCTTCCACAGGTGGTCACTCTCGCTTTGCTCGGGAATTTGATGCTAGGCTAGTAGCTATATAATCCTCTAGTGAGAAGTTGAACTGTGTACAATCTAGTTAGAAATTCCTTGAAGAGGATGATAATGGCTACAACGAGCTAAATCTGTGCTAATTAATTAGTTCTATTAATGAATGATCCAGACATGAGATCATTTATAAATGTAGTTTGAACTTCAAGAGCATGCATGTGATGCATGTGTAAAGTGTAAACTAACCTCATCAAGATAGAATGGCCTCATATTTCACTATGTAAAAGCTTTCCCATCATTAGAGTAAGAGGATGATAATGGCCTCATAGTTCAGGTTGGCCAGTCTTGGGAAGGCAACAATACCATGCAATACTAATGTTACAACTTTTGCATCGATCACTCTATGTCCGTCCAAACTCCGAATCTCATTCTCTATCTCTCTTGCCTTCTATTCATACATCTTCTTTCTGTTTCAATGTCGCTAAGTATTAATTTTAGACCGTACATGTTGATTAGTGTCATCACTCTATAACTCCCAAGGATCATATGAAAGAAGTTTAAAAAATGCCCTATCCATTGGTCAGGGGTAATTTCATAACTTGATACATTTTATGTCTGCGTTAGGGCCTGTTCGTTTGCTCTGACGTCTGATATCTCAAAGTACAATAATTACATTAAGAAGCTTATTGGTATTGAGTTTTTCTTTGCTCTAAACTCTGAATGCAAAGAATGTTGTTTTGAATTTGAAAATTGTCAAATGTCCATTTTAACCCCATATATGAGATTTTTTGTTTGTTTATGTAATTCAATAAAACATAATATTAAAAATTATTATAGTGATTAATAATTAATTAATAAATAATTTGTGTTAATTAATAATTAATTATAATCATTATTATTTAATAATTATTAATTAGTATAATAGCTAATAATTTATTAACAAATAATAATTATTATAATAGTTAATTATAAATTAATAATAATTACTATAACAACAATAGTAATTAATAATTAATTATCATAATAATTAATATATATAATATTTAATTAAAATTTAAGTTATAACTAATAATTAATTATTAATTTATATTAATACTAATTATTATAATAATTAGTTAAAAATTAATAATTTATACTAATTATTATTATTATTATAGTAATAATAGTACAAAAGGAATGATGAATAATAATTAATTATTATAATAATAAGCATTAATTAATTATTAATTAACTTTTAATTATTATTATAATTAATTGTTAATAATTTTTATTATTGCATATGAGGCCCTTGAGTTATAAGGAGGGAGAAGTGTTTTGTATTTTGGGAGTACCATTAGAAAAGAAAAAAATATAAGATTCTATTTTAAGAGATAAGAGGAAACAAACAAACAGGCCCTTAGATTATATTTGATTTAAAGAAAAAAAGTAGGAAAAGAAAGGAAAATATTGAAAAACCTATTCGAGGTTTGTAAAAAGAGGTTTTCATTATTATCAAAAACTTAGGGAAGAGTTTGTATTTTACCCTAAAATATATGATTTAGGCCCAAAAATTGAATGATTGTGGACCCATGTGGTGTGGGGAATTATCATTGGTTTGGTCCCAACATAAAAGGACGTGCCGACGTGGTGAAGCAGGTTTGGACTTTGGCGTGACACAACACAACAGAGCAGACAAGAACGAAGTAAAAAAGTTCGACCAAATCCGAAATCAGTAAACGGATCAACCCATAAAATGGAAAAAACCCATTTTTAAGGTAAGCGAGTAAGCCACAGGCCAGCAGGCAGCAGGCAGCAGGCAGCAGGCAGCAGGCCACCCTCTGAGTTCTGAGAGAACATCCATTGATTCCATTGCCTTAACTCCCGATTCTACTGGTCCATCCCCGAAACCACCTCTCCCAAACCACTCCGGTTCTCCGGTATTCTCACCACACTTCTCTTACTTGCCTGTTGCTTCCTCTCTCTCTCTCCGCGTATTCATTCAAACCGTAGCGAGACTCACGCGCCAGCTGATGGAGGATGGACTGAAGGAGATTTCTCGGCTTTTCACTTTTTCTAAATAGAGGGCAGTAGAAATATCAGAAACCCTAAAAATCTGCAGCGATGGCGTCTTCGAAGGTGATGGCATCTTCTGGGTCGGCGAATTCGGATCTGGCACGTCAACCCTCTATATATTCGCGAACTGTTCCTGAACTTCAGAACGGTCAGAAGAAAAAATTTGGCGGGTCTATGAACATGGACGAGCTTCTGAGAAATATGTACGGTGACAATCCAGCGGCCGAGATGATTCCCCCTGCCGGAAGCGGCAGTGGCGAGGGTCAGGCGAATGGTGCTGCAGGGATGTCTTCTTTGGCTACACAGGGGAGCTTTACACTGCCGAAGAGTCACAAGCCAGTCGATGAGGTGTGGAAGGAGATCGCTGCTAGTGGTGGCGATAGGAAAATTAGGGCTGTTGAGGAGGGGCAGTATTTCAAGGACCCGGCGATCGAACAGATGACTTTGGAGGATTTTCTTGCAAAAGCCGGAGCTGTTCGAGAGGAGGATGTGAGGATTCCGCAGGTGTCTGGGGCGGGTCAAGGGGTTTATCCAGTTGATCCGCTGTTGGCTAATCGGTTTCCACAGCAGCAGTTGGAGGGGTCGATTGCGGGGTTTGGAAATGGCGTTGAAGGAGGAGCGGCAGTAGGAGTAGGCAGGGGGAAGAGGAGAATAGTGGAAGAGCCAATTGATAAGGCTGCTCAGCAGAGACAAAGGAGGATGATTAAGAACAGGGAGTCTGCGGCTCGGTCGAGAGAACGGAAACAGGTCGATTTTACTGCTACGTTCTCTCATCATCGATTTTTCTGCCTCTAATTCTCTTTTAATCTTTTCTTCATCGTGTCTTATGAGTAGGCATTATGTTTCGTTGTTTTAACTTTTTAGGCTTACACGGTTGAGCTAGAATCCCTGGTAGCACAACTGGAGGAGGAAAATGCTCGGCTGCTGAAAGAGCAGGTATATCAGTTCAGCTTGAATTTCAGTTGGTATAGATTGTTTTGTCATGTGAAGGTGAAGTTTACATTTTTTACGTACAAAATTGTTGTTTGACCTGTTAAGACGTGGGATTTTGAGGGCATGATAGTTCATTTAACACAACATGTGGCACGTTGAGAATACCTATTTGCAAAGAGATGAGGAGAAATCTTCTGGATATCTTATGGATCACTCTAACCCGAGGTTTATCTGGGCGTCCAAATTTGGTTTTTCTACTCATTGTACGGTCAAATCTTGGTTTTCCTCACTACTTCACTAGGCGACCCCTGCAAACCTTGTCAACTGCAAGAACAGGTTTTATGAAATTAAGTTTCAGAAGTATTTTTTAGTTTGGTGCTTTTGCTTTTTAAAATTAATATATTTTTTATCAATATTTTAAAATTAATATTTGACAATAAAAAAATTGCTCCAGTATGCTTTCCATAATCACCAACATAAAAAAGGAAAGATTACACAAATAAAGCAAATTCACTCAAGGACCTCTATTTTAAGGGTTGAAATTAACCTCCAAAGCATATATGAAAATTGTCATCCTCCACTGGAGGCTTGCAATGTTAAGTTTGGCTGATAGTTGATACCTTTAGTGGTAAACACTTTTACACTTGTGTCTCTGATAGCTGATCACCTAACTGACAACCATGCTCCTTAGCTTGTGAGGTCTGTACACTTGTGGCCATTGGCTTTGCCCCTCGGTAAGAAATGGAGAATATGCATCAAATATTGTATACAATCTTTCATAACAAAAGGGCGGTCATGCTTGTGCAGTGAATGACTATATGTTGCTGGAAATTTAATATTGCTATCTTTTGGATTTTTAGTGTCCCTAGAAGTTGTTTCTTTATTTATTGCTGTGTCTAAAATTACTTTAAGTGACTGGAAGCAAGATGAAAGCTATTTATGATCATCCTGTTTTCTATCTCATTATATACATAGATGTCTTCCCCTGTTTAATAGAACTGTTTAGTTTTTAATATTGATGATCACTAATTATGAGATGTCCTCGCAGAGAAACAGAAATGCTTGGTTCTTCTTGAAACACTTTTTCTTGTTTGTTCTTCATTTTAACTTTGCCTTTTCCCCTCTTAGACAATCCTCAAATGCTGTACCTTGAACTAATAAGAAATTTCAAATTGCAGGCAGAACAAACAAAGAAGAGGTTTATGCAGGTATAAGTTGTTTAATTGTTTTCACATGTTTGATTATTTGTACTGTAAACTTTTAATAAAGAACCTTTATTCCTCTCAGAAAGAAAAAAGAAGAAAAATGATTTGGAATCTTAAAACCCTTTGGTCGCCCATGATCAACTTGTAGTTATAGGTGATGGTTGTTAAGTCTCTCATCTGTGGTAAACCATATTTTGTGGAAATTTTATACCTTATTTTTTTTGGAAGTAGAATTTTGGGATTATTAGCATTTAGAAATTTCTAGAGTGCAGCTATAGCAGTACCAAGTTACCAACTATTTTCCCATGCTCTAGTAGTCTAATATATATAGGGAACCCAAAATTCTATGGTATGTGTTGAAAATGTCATCAATGTTTTGGACACCAGAACTCTTTTGGTGATAACTTCCTATGTCATGTATTTCCTCATGACTTCATGAGAATTGAGGGCAATTTGCTTCCTTCGAATATCTAAGAAAATGGCTATTCTCAGAAAAAAAATTAATATTCTCATAATGTTAATGAACAGAGGAGCCCAACCGTTTTGGAATAAACTAGTATTAGAATATTGCTTCTATGATGTTTCTATGGCACTAGTGAACTTAATGTATGTATTAATTTGCTTCTCTCAGTCCTCGTTAGTAGCCTCCTCCATAGCCTCAATATTTCTGGTACCTTAATGAAAATATCAACTTATTTCTCACCCTATTTACTAACCAAATTTCAAGGATTCTAGTTCTTCTCTTTTTGAAATATTTGAGTTTTTATCCAGTAATATATATTGTTTTAAAATTCGGAGGTGTGACACAAAACGAGACACTCCATCATCCTAAGGCATGAGGTGTAAACCAGAAAACAAGAGGCATAAGCCTCCTGAACGTGAATTTTTAATTAATAAATACTTTAACATAAGAAAAAATAAGTAAAAATATAGTAAATATCCGAGAAAATAGGAAAATTATAAGAAATTAGAAAACAATTCACATAAATTACACAACAATATCATAAACATGTGTGACATATCATGTTCAGATGACTGTAATATATTGAAAGAAATCAAAACCCCCAATTCTATTTATGGCATTTTGTTATAATATTACAATAAACAAATTTGGAGGGTTTTCATCATGTGTCGTGTTAATATATAATAGGGAACATGATAAAATGGTCCTCCCACTTTTGGGTGTGTATCCCATGTATAAAGCACAATAGAAGCATATGCCTCAAGCATTTGTACATATCTACTTTGTGCCCGTAGGTGTTTTCTTAGCACTTTCCTGGAGGCACAACTATGCATGTCTATTGGATGCCCCAGTTACCTATCAATGCACCTTTGATCATATAAATACGGATAGTTTATTGTATTTACATGGCAGTCTACTTAAACAAACCTCCTCACACCAAAAAATGGTGTGAGGAGGTTTGTTTTGTGTTGTTGGCCATTTAGTCTTATTTAGGCTATTGTTGTTGCTACTCTCTCTCTCTCTCATCAAGTCACTTGTCACCCACAAGTTACTTGTTTTTAATTTGTCTGGAGCTTGAGCTTCCTGCTGTTACTTGTTGAGATAGGCCTGGCTTGTAGTCTTTTGGAGGCCCATTTTGGTGTTCAAAGGCAGATGTGATATGGTTCACCAATGTCTTAACACCTTGGTACATTTAACAAAAAGGATAAAGCTTATCTAAAGAAAATTTCTTTGGTATCCTGGAGTTCATCTTGCTCTTCTAATTTTTTTTTATCAGCAAGAAATTTATTGAATTATTAATTATAAGTGAGATAACAGAGATAACAGTACAGTTTTATGACCATAAAGTCATCCCAAGTAATGTTTGCTAGATTAATCTTGCTCTCCTGATCTTAATTGGAAATTTGAATTCCATGCCCTTGTAGAGGGTGTAGAAAGTTTTCTGAGCTATGTTTTCTTTTGTAGAATATCTAAGGTATGCTAATTTCTTCTCAGTGGAGATCGTAAGGTTTGGTTACTTGAGTTCTGGTAGTCAATTTCTTGCATTTTTACCTTACTAAAACAATGTTGAAGGCCCCACCCTACCTAAAGTGCAAATTCTTAGATTAGAGGTAGATGTATTAAATGACCAACACCTGTGGCATGAGGTGAATATCTCATTGCATGATTGAGTTGACAGTTGACGCATGAATGCCTCTGTTGATTGGCAGGGTTTTTATAGAAGTTTAGTAGTGGGGTGCCATCTTGTTAATGTGAGCTTGTTTTCGAGTTCTACTTGGTATTCTCTACCCTTAAGATTGAATTTCCAAAACAGGAGGGGTTAAGTTTCTTCTAAGAAGTTATTACAATTTAATAAAAAAGGAACTTTTTCTCCTATCTTATAGGAGTTAGGGCTCCTACATGTGGTGGGAAACAATGTGAAATCACATGACTACAAGGGGAGTGATACTTGGTTCCGACACTTGGATGGGACAAAATTACCCCTTTTAATAATGACTTTTTATGGCTAAAATGGTCATGTCTTATTTAGCTGGGAAATAAAAGAACATGGGTAAATGCACTTACCCGGGTAAGTGTTTCCTAGGAAATACTTGCCCAAGTAAGTGCGTTTGCCCGGGTAAGTAACTTCCCAAAACACACCCCCTATTCCTGGTGGCCCTGGGTTTCCAAGGCTGCTGGCAGCAAAGTTTACTTCTATGAACCCTTCTTCAAGAGGATTCCATGTTGGATTAGGCCAGTGTTTTAAAAGGCGTGGGAGGTGTACACCAGGAGGCACCCCCAAAATGCCCTGAGGCGTAGGCCAGAGGTGCTGACACCTCCTCTAAGGCGTACACCTCAGGTGCAAGAGGCATACACCTCATACGCTTTTCTCATGAGGCATTCTAGAGGTGTACGCCTCATGCACACCTCATATAAAAAGACAAGAAAAAAAGAGAAAAAAAAAAAGAGAGAAAAAAGGAAAGGAAAGGAAAGGGAAGGGAAAGAGAAGAAAAAAATAGAAAAAGAATGAAAAGAAAAGGAAAGGGAAGGGAAGAATAGATAAGGGGAAGGCCCACTTTCTTTCCCTTTTCAATGCAGCCCAATTTGGTTATTTTGTGTTAGAGGGGTCTTGCTCTGCTTCGACAAGGCCCCCCCCCCCCCCCCTTCATGTTTCATACCAGATTTGATATAGACCATGTTGTGTAATTCCAAAAGCATCCCTGTAAAACCCCCCCCCCCACCTTCAACTAGTGCTATGAATCTTCATTTTTCTAATATAAAAGATTTTTATTAAAAATAAAGAAAAATGGGATCCTCCTTCCTCTTGTTCCTCTTCCTCTTTCCCTTCCTCCCCATCCCCCTCCTCTTAAGGAGGCTTACGCCTCCTTGTGTTCAGGAGGCTTACGCATCTTATATCCATAGTTTTCAAGGCACCAAGGCAAGGCTAGGCGACCACAGGGCGCCCAGGCACCTAGGCGTTGGAATTTTAAAATGTTAATTTTCTTGAGTTTTTACTTTATCTATGCTTTTCTAAGCTATTTTATTGGTTTTGTGTGCTAACTAGCAAGCATGTACACTAACTATTAACTCTATAAATCATTCAAATGAGTATAAATTTCATATAACTAGCTAGCATGTACACTAACTAGCAAGCATGTACACTAACTATTAACTGAAAAAAAAAATAAGTGGAGGAACTAGGAAGAGATGAGAGGAGTATAGGGGCGGAAGAAGAAGAGGAAGAAGAAGTATAGGGGATTAGGGGCAGGGAGGAGTATAGGCCCCTGTTTTTTCAAAAAAAAAAAAGGGACTGAGAACAGTCAGGGGTGGAGAGGAGTATAGGGGCGGAGCCTCTGTTTTTTCAAAACAAAAGGGACTGAGACTAGGACTAGCAACTGAGAACAGGGGCAGAAGAAGAAGAAGAAGAAGAATGAGTGGAGCTGTGGAGGAAGGGAGGAGTATAGGGGCAGAGCCCCTGTTTTTTCGAAAAAAAAAAAGAAAAAAAAATGACTGAAGCTGGGCTGGAAGAAGAAGAAGAACTTACCTGCTGAAGCTGAGGTGTGATGGAGTTGGGCTGGGGCATGAAGTCTTCGGTTCTCCTCCCTCTCCAATCGGACCACAAAAACCCTTATGCATAAATAAAAGAAAAAGGCTTTGTATTGTTGTCTTAATAATAAAATGATAGCATGTAACCAGTTTTATTTTAAAAGAATAAAACATCTAATAAAATATCAAAATAATAAATTAAAAAAAAATTATTAGATGTATGTAGGCGCCCGCTTAAGTCTCTGGGCGGGTGCCTAGTATACAAAATTCAGGGCCTTTGGGCGAGGCAACCATGGAAAACTGCCTAGTCGCCTTGACAACTATGCTTACATCCTGATTACGCCTCACACCTCTAGGTAGTGGAACACCTCGCGTCATGCCTCCACGTTTTAAAACATTGGATAAAGCTTAGCCTTAATTTCTGAACAATTTTCCACAGCTCCCCAATTCTGCCAAATATCATTGAAGGTAAACTGGGAAAAGAGTTAAGGTTTAGCCCAATGTATAGCTCTTCTGATGAGACATTCCCAAATAACCTCCGCCCTTCTTTCTACATCATTGAAGATTCTAGCATTCCTTTCTTCTCAAATGGACCAAAACAACATGGCTTTAGCACATCTCCATAGGATTTTACTCCTTTGTTTAGACCAGCTGAAGGTAGATGGGTCGAATAGACCACTGATCTGTACTAACAACCTTTCCCAAAGGTTTGCAACCACTGGACAGGAAACAAATAAGCAGTAACAGCTTTCACAGTCTCACCATTATCTTTACAGAGGGTACACCAGTTAGGGGGAAGGCAAAGAGAAGGCCTTCTATTTCACAAAGTATCCAAGGTGTTCAGCTTTTCCTGAAAGGCTTCCATAGGGTCATTTCTTGGTTCTAGCCTCTATATAAGACCTCTTATATTGAGAGATTTTCCATCACTTGTAGACAACCAAGAGATGACACAAGATCTAAATCCTCAGACCTAAAAAGGTAGAAGCTTGTATTTTATGTTGTCATGGCTGCAGGTATTTCTTTTTCTAATTTCATATTGTAGAATTTTCCATTGATTTTGGTGAATTAGGTAGACACAAAAAGACAAATCTGGATAAATGACCATGAGCCTACCCCATATAGTTAGGACAAAGCTTAGATGATGATGAGGTAGACACGATTAATTTGTTCATGGTATTACTTATATTTTGAACTTGGGTTACAAAGTTTTATCTTCTTAAAACCTACATATATGTGTTTATATTCACCTTAAAATAGATTGATGTTGTAAGGATTTATTTTTTAAAATCATCCAGTTGTTACCATTACTCAGTAAAAAGTTGTCCAATTGACAATATCAATATGTAAAAGGGAGTTGCTGTGGGTTTCTACTTTAACCATGCAATGCTAGGATTAAATTGTTTTGATGGGTAAAATAGTCTATTAGATTTTGGTTAGAGATGGGGAGAGAAAGAGTCCAATTATCAATTGTAGTGTGCCAAAGCTAACATAAATTTCAATACCTAAATCTAAAAGGCTTTGATCTCTCAATCATCTCACGGTGGCTTAGGCTATGTTTTTTCACATAGTATCATTGATTTGAGTAGGCTATGATATATATGGTTTATTTTATTTATATTTGGTCCCATTGTGAACTACCTAAAAGTTCAAGAGTTGATTGATGAGTTAGAACCTAATATGCCTCCATCCCGTTGTTATTTGGTTATTCCCCAATTATTTAAGGAATAAGCTGTAGTCCATTAAACCCATATACTTCAACATGATAGCCAGATAGGTGTCTGCATGATAAGATGCCAACACAAATAATGGATCCCACGGGGATGGTTCTAGTGTATTGTCATAAAAGATATCTAAATGATATATTCCATCAACATGGACCTGAAGGATGAGTTTTGGGGTGGGGGCAGTGAGAAGTGGTTAGTTGGGTATTTTGTCTATCAAGGCACTGGTGGCTTTAATTGGGCATTTTGTCTTGGTTTGGGTTCTGGTGATCCCAGAGTTTGAACAGCATTATCAGATTTGGGGGAGATCTTGTGGAATGTGTCAAAGTGCCTTCTTGTCACCTACTTTGTCACCCTTTTTCATTTTAATAAAATTTCATGTTACTCTTCAATATTTATATATATATATATATATATATATATATATACTTGAATTTGATGGTAAATATGTATTTTTTTACTTCAATGGTAAATATGCATTTTTATTATACTGTATCGTGTACTTGCGATATTTAGGAGATAAAAGTACAAGGCAAAACCTTCATTTCAAGTTAGTAACACAATGTTGTACCAATTCAGCTAATAGGCTTTTTGAAATAATTTATTTATTTTACTTCAAAAAATATTTTATTTCTTTTAGAATTTAATTTTATATAGTCTTGTATATTAAGGGGTGTCCTCCAATGTGAATTGTTTTCCTTGTTGCCAAGTTCCAAAAATAAAACAAAACTAGCCGGTTTGAAAACAAATTGGTTCTTAAGACAAAACATAAAAAAACGTGTTCTCAGTTATGTGTGTTTTTTGTTTCCAAAACTGAAATCATAAACGTGTTATTGAATTTCTGGTTTAAAGAACATGTTTTCACCTGGTTATTTAACATCATGTTCCATAAATCATATAATTTCTATGGTATAAAATTTGTTTTTGTTTTAAAAATCATTGTTTTGATGGTTTTAAAATACATACATATATGTTTGTTTTTTTCCTGATGTGGCAACTTCAAAAACATGAAAAAACATTCGTGTTGCAGAACACCCCCTAAGTTTTCTTTTGTTTTCTTTTCCAAAAATGGCACCTCACTTCAAGCTTGCACCCCGGAACCACTTACGTTTGATTGTGTTTCTTACTATTAGAACACTGAGTGCAAGAGATCAGGACTAGCTTTTTCATAACTTAGATGAAGATCATGAAGTGGTCCACTTAAAGTTGAATTAATGCTATGTCTTCCAGAGTAGAATTATAAGGAACAAAGATGTGCTTCTTGCGACTGTAGCATTGCATTCCTTGGTAATTCCACCTTGTAGCTTTTTTTTTTTTAATTGAAGTTCATATGATTTTTTCTTCGCAACTTTTTTTCTGAGGAATCAATTTTGGAATCGAGAAACCAATGTATTTTGGTATTTGATAACTTACTGTGACTAACCAACCAATTGGCTTAAGTGCAGCTGATGGAATATGTGATCCCAGTGGAGGAGAAACGCAGACCACCCCGTGTTCTTCGGAGAATTCACTCTGTGCAGTGGTAGGAATAGTTGTTAGTCCATGATGAATGAGGTAGAAAGAACATTTTATTTTTCACAATGCTAAAGTTGTAGAAGGATTAGCACCTGCAACGAAGCAACATATTTGCTGTGAAAACGCATCTGTGCGTCACGTATTCCCACTGGTACTGGTTGAGAGCAGTATTCGTTCTATGATTTCGCAGCTTACATTTGAAAGTATTTCTGTGAAGCTGAAGCTTGGTTGCATAATTGTGTACCAAATAGATGAACAGGGGGAGAATGGTGTTGAGTGGTTGTGGGGTTAACTGGTGTTAATTGGAAAAGAACAAGAAACACACCCAGAGAGACTTGATGATCTATTTTTTTTATTTAATATAATATATCAACACCTTAGCAGCACATTGAAGTTCAGCACAGCCACAGCACCTGCAGTCCTATTTATACTTACAGTCTCCGATATGCATTTTTCTTCTTTGGGGTCCAATTATTTGGTTTCCCTAGATCCTAATTCGGAATATTTTTGAGAAGGAATTCGTTGTATAGAGAAAATATAGATAGAAAAGTGGATGGGATTTGTCATTTGTATGAATTATGAACTTTATTAACTATGTAGTTCATAGTTAAAGGATTTTTTTTAGAGGTTGTGGTTTTCGTGGTTTCAGAAAGGAAAGGATTCACTGGAGCTCCCTGCTCTGCTTATCATCTCTGGTCAGCCTTTTCCCACTACTAAAAGCAAAATGATTCAGAAAAGAAGCACTTGAAGCAATTGGCTATGATATATTCAGATGCAAAATCATGTAATTCCTGCCCATTATCAGGGTCCAAGCAATTGGCTATGATATATTCAGATGCAAAATCATGTAATTCCTGCCCATTATCAGGGTCCAATCCAACAGTTAATAGCACTTTGGTCCAAGTTTTCATATGTATCGGCTGATACGTATCGTATTGGGAGCTTCTTAATATTGGGGTTTGATTGGTTCAGAGAGTGGATAGACTTGAAACTGGCTCCTCTCAATACCTTCCTCTAAGAACATTTTGCATCATATTTATCTATTAACATCAGTGCATTACATGCTCAGACTAATAGAAGGATCAACCTGTATAGTTTATATCTGAAATATGAAAGGAGATTCTATAGAGAGGTGAAAGCTCGGGAGGGGTTCAAAGTAGTTGTCAGAAGTTTAAGGTGCGGTTTGATAAGTCTTTTTTAGAAAATCTTTCAAAGACCTGGCAGCCAAAAGATGATGCGACTTTTGCATTAACATCTTAGCAACTTGAAGACTATTTGGTTATAACGTCTTTCTGTATGAGATAAGTTAAAAAAAGGTAAAAAAATTCATTTAGAGCTTTCTGAAAATAAGCCAAATGGATTTTTTGCATCTCCTTCGGAGTTATAGTTTTTGATGATTAGATCTTTTTTTCCAACCAAATGAGAAAAAACCAAACTGTGAACTGTCGGTTTTTAGACGCAAAAAAAAATTGCCAAACTAGGCCCGAGTAATTGAACATTTTTCTCGTCACGATTTCCCGAAAGGATGGTCCAGTGTCGTCGTACATGCATCGATGCACGGAGGGTGCCCCCATCCGGACGGGTGGGATGGGAAATGCCAATTTATGTATGTCACTCTCTATAGGATTTGACACACGACTTACACTAACCAGTCCATAGAGATAAAGTTTGGGATTGGACCTTTGGGTATTTTTGTCTGCCTTGATTAGCGAAACATCACTAAGATTAGGGCTGCAAATAAATTGGATAAAATCCGTTCAAATCCGAATCGATTAAGAGTCGAATTCAGATATCTCAGTTTATCCCAAGGAATCGGATCGGATAAGTTGATCCATTTAATTAATAAATCGAATTTGGATGTACATTCGCCACAACTCAATCTGATCTATTAGTTATGAAATACTATATATTATAATATATTATTTATATAATTACATATTATATGATAATATATTATTTATATTGTATCATAATTTTTTATTATAATTCTAATCGAATTAATTTTTTATCGGATCAGATCAAATATACCCTATACCAAAATCTGATCCGATCCATTTGCAACATCAACCAAGATTTATTATTTTTTTTATTATCTGCAAGTGAAAGATACACCCTTCCAAGCTCCAAACACCCTTGTAATGGCCAAAACTAAAAACAGCCTCGATCTCCATTTATGGAGTTGGGATCTATTCACACTAAAAAAATTGCTCCGACATGCATAATCTGTGACCGCACATCTCACTATTATTAGACCTGTTTGTGGGCTGGGCTGGGCCGGGTCAGGTTCAGGTCGAGCTTTCACTCTTCATTAACATAATTTCTTCAAGACCAAGCCCAAGCCTTTTCAACCATTGGGCCTACAACTTGGGCCTGAGTCCAGCCCGCCATTCAATGTTGACAGTGGTATTGTGGTGGCTGATGGTGGTGAGGCACAATTAGGGCTGATCATGGGCCAGGCATTGCACTTACGATAAGGGCTATATCCTAGGCCCAGGCCTGGCCTGGCACAAGGTTCCAGGCCTGAAACATAAGCCCTAGCCCAAGTCTACACAGGCCCATGCCTAATTCTGGGCCTATGTCTTTCATACATAAAACATTACATATATATTATAAAGCGATAAAGTCTCCTGTCAGCACCCCTTTCTCTTCTCTCCTTTCTCCCTTACCCCTTTCTAGCTCTTTCATTCACTCTCTCTCAATCTCTTTCCTCTTCTTCTAGACCCAGCCCACTCATTAAGCCACGTGACAAGGGAGTTAATCATCAAGGAAAGAAAGAGAGATTTGGTTTTATAATATCTAGCCAAGTGGCAGCACTATCCCCCAATTTCTCCTAAATTATCTCTAATTCCTATTTATCCTAGAATGGTCTCTAATTAAATAGATAGTTTCTCTCCTAAATTATCTCTAATTCCCATTTATCATTTGCCACTTTTGATTTATATCTATCTAAAGAAAGTTTGAATTAAAAAAATAATTAAGAATTATTAAAATATTATAACAAAATTATGTAATGACTTTAAAATATCTATTATAAACACAAAAATAATATTTTTATGGATTATTCAATTTAATAACTAAATAATATTTTAAAAGTTTAAATGACAATATTATTTAAACATTATTCACATGATAAAAATTTAAAACTAAAAATGTTATTTAAATATATCAGTAACTAAATATTTTAAATAAAAATATTAAAAATAGCTAAATAATTATATAACATAAAATAAACAAATTTTAAATAAAAATTTTAAAATATTTACATATTATTTAAATATTCAAATAACTAAATATTTTCATATTTATTATAAACACAAGAATAATATTTTTATGGATTATTTAATTTAATAACTAAATAATATTTTAAAATTATAATTGACAAAATTATTTAAACATTATTCACATAATAAAAATTTAAAACTAAAAAAAATAGTATTTAAAAATATCAAATATTTTACATATTATTTCAATATTTAAATAACTAAATATTTTAAATAATGAAATGCTTAAAATAACTAAATTTTAAATAGTTAAAATAATGAAACTATGTAACAAATTAAAAAGTTTCTAACATGTAGAAAAGTAATTATAATAGATTTCATAATATTTGAATTAATAATATAACGAAATTATATAATAATATAAATTATATTTTTACAAATAATTGAATAAGTAATTAGTACTTTAAAAATATAAATAATGAAATTATTTGAATAACAAAACAATATTGTAAATAACTTAATAACTAAATCATATTTTCAATATTAATTGAAAATAGGCTAAATAAGGAAATTATGTAATAACTTTAAACAATAATATTTATTAAAAATAAGTTTAAGATATTTATCTATATTTATTATATATTTGTATATACTAAAATTAATATTTAGTGTATTTTCAGTAATTATTTATTTTATTTGTGATAAATATATTTTTAACAATTATGTATAAATCTTTTTTTGTTTTGTTATTTAACAGAAAATTTTCAATAACTATTGGAGATTAAAATATTATTATTTAAATTTCAAATTTAACTTTTTGTACTTATTGGAAATATTGTATTTTTGTTATAATTTATTGATTAATATTTGTTAGAGATTAAACTATTATTAGATATTACACTATTTATTGACTAATTTAATATATCTATAGTATTTATTGTATTTTCATAATTATTGTATTCATTGTATATTTATTAGTTATTTGTTGTATTTTCAATAATTGTGTATTTTCGCTATAAATTCTCAACAATTATTGGAGATTAAACTATTGTTATTTATTAGAGACTAGACTATTAATTTAGCCAAAATTAGGAGTGTTTATGGGTCATTTCTGTTTGGTTGAAAGTTGTTTGGTGAACTAAACCAACTTGGTTGGATTGGGGAGTTGGTCACCCAAAACTAGATGTTCATGGGCTGGGTAGCCCAATGGATTGGCCTGGCTCAGTCCATCCAAAATCAGGCTTGGACAGCGTTTTAAGCCCACAGGCTCAGGCTCAAGCTTTAAACATTGGGCCTGACTATTTTTCGGGACAAGCTCGATCTTTCTCAAATAAGCTCATCTTAAGCTCAACCCAGTAATATTATATATAGTAAAAAATATAAATCACATTAATAATACATAAAATATATTATATAATAATAAAATTAGTAGTGAAAAAGGTATTATATATTATTATATATATGTAGAATATTATAAAATATATAATATAATATAAAATATTTGTCTAGATCAGGCCATGCTTGGACTCAGGCCTAGTCATTTTCTGTTTATAAACAGGAAAAGCCTGGCTCGGGCCTACCCATCTACAAGTCTACCTGAAACCAACCGACCATTAGTAAAAATCGACCTAATTCAAGTGAAGTTAGGTTGGGTTGGTCGGTTTCATCTGTTTGATGAACCATCCTAGATGAAATTAATTATTGTTATTTTTTCTATTGCAAAAGAATTATTAAAAATATATATAATATAAATAATTATTAATTATTTAAAAAATTAAAATATAAAACAATTGTATACTCTTATGTATTTGTATTGTTTAGCTTCCGCTTAACAAAGCCTATGCATCACACGAGTCCCTGCTAGTGTGTGTGTGTATATATATATATATATATATATATATATGTATTTGTATGTTTAAATATGGGCTTAAAGTATTAGCCCAGACCCGGCTAAAATTTGCAGGTCTGATGTGAGCCCGGGCCTGAACATAAAACCCAAGCCCAAAGCCGGATTTTCCAGGCCGGGCTTGTGCAGGTCGGGCTGAAATGGTGACCCCTAGGCACAACACTGGAGTGGTTTAGTAATGCAACCACCACTGTGCTGGTGAGTGTAGTGGTGTTGGTGCCTGCAGTGAGAAAAGGGAAGACAGAATTGCAGAATACACATACAGGTCCTGATCGGGACTAGGGAGGTGGTGCTCTGTGCTTTGCCTAGGTGGTGACTGGTGAGTGGTGAGTGTGGACTGTGGAGTCGTGATTGGAGTGGTGAGTGTGTTGTTGCCACCGCCGCTAAACAGAGTTACAAAGAGAAGGGGCACGTTGAGGTTGAACAAAGAGAAGGGCCGCCAGAGAAACAAAATGCCAAACCGCTGGGCGTTGGTCCGCTAACCGCTGCTAGCTTGCGATCGTTGGAGATCACCGAAGAAAAAAAGAACGCTATCAGTGCTGGTCTGCTGCTACCTGCTAGCCTGAGAGCTGAGAATTAGTGAGACTCCAAAACGAACAGAGAGGTCGAACCCAATCTGAAAAACTAACGAGGTTAATGTTTTGGGCCCGAGGTCGAGCCCGTGGCTTAAGAACATGTCCACGCCCAATCGGGAGTGGGCTGGCCGGGCCGGGCCGTTGGGCTACCCAGCCCATGAACTGGTCTACTCACCAGTCACCATAGGACTGGACTGGGACACATTACAATGTTTGTGGTGTACGGAGACAGATCATGTGTTGGAACAATTTTTTGTTGTGAACAGATTTTAGGCCCCATTTATGTATCTAGTTTTGTTTAGTCCTGATTCAAATTTATTAAGATCATAAAAATCATGAGCACTTTCTCATCTTGGTAAGAGCATTTCAAGCTGAGTGGATTAATTAGTGCCCATTCATGGAGTATGGTCATTCAAATTTGGATTCAGGTCAGGTCATAGAAACATGGCAATCTGGCATTGCTGCTGCTTTTACTTAACTCAAGTATTTACTAAATAGTCCTTTCATCTTTACAGTAGTTTCCCTTCCAGGGATAGTTAGTGATAGGCACAGGCTTCACTCTTTATTGTGCAAATAATGGTCTCTGCAACCTGTTCTGGTCTGTAACACTGTAACTATCAATTCAAGAGGATCAAAATGGGAAGATTTTATTCCCTAAAAGTTTCAATGTATGTGCTTTTATTAAAATAATCTAATCAAAAGAAGTCAAGAAAAGCAAACTTGATTCCCCCTTCCAAAAAAGATCATTGAAATGTAGAGTCTAGACTTGTTTAATCAGTCATTAATGACCTCAATAATCATTTCAGAATAATAATCTCTATCAGCTCAACCACCCATTTACCCCATCTTTATTTCTTTACCGTTTCTTTCCTCCTTTCTCTTTTTCTTTATTTTAAGAAAAAAGAAAGTAAAAGAAAAATATTGCCTCCTTTACAGTGAAAGCCTGAGGCTTCACTGCAAGAGAAACTTGTAGAGCTTACACAGTCTTACACGCTCCCAAGGACAATCCAAAAATCTATACAAACACCATCAGAACTCAGAACTCGAGAGCCAAAACCTCTCTCTCTCTCTCTCGTTTCGAAAATCAAAAGTTCAAAACTCACTTTCTTTTTTCTCCTTTTGTAACAGTAAAAAAAGATAAAGGTCAAATTTTGAACGAGGAAAGACTCGACAACAGAGCCCCTCCCCTCCCTAGTCCCTAGTCCCTACCCACACACCTCCGACTCAAAAACTGAAGAAACTGGAATCAAGAACACGCAACCCATGGAGACCTCCTCCCCCATACTCATCTTTCTTTTGCTGCTCATTCCAGTATTTCAATCCTCCCAGGCCAAGATTATTTCTGTAGATGAATTTGCAGAGTGGAGGAACCCCACTATCCATGCAGGAGACTCTCTCGGTAAGGACCAAAGAAACACATATACGCAGACACTCTCTCAGTATGTATTGTACACAGATACACAGACACCCCAGAAATACAGAGATCAAGTGAGTATTCTCTAAGTAGCCGAAACTAACATGCTTAATCTTCTGTTCTCTTCCTCACAGTTTTCAAATATGATCACCACTACGGTATCTATATTTTCCACAACAGAAGAGCATTCGAGCTCTGCAACTTCACTGAGGCCACACTTCTCAATGAACCCAACTCCACCTCCTTCACGGTAGCTGTTTTTTTTCCTTTTCCTTTTTTCTTCAAATTTTTATCTGGGTACTTCTAAAATGGCTTTAAATCCTTATTTTCCGACTATTTTCTTCTTTGTTCTGTTGCTCAGTGGCGCTCACCAGCCCCTGGTTATGTCTACTTCTCTTTCAAAAATGGTTCACTGAAAGCCTGTTCGGAGGGTGAGAAGCTTGCCATAAGGGTATTGCCAACTCCGCCCGGCCACTTGGCTCCTTCGCCGGATTTTCCACCCTTAGCCGCTCCGCCACCAACTTCTGGCGGGACTGTCTCGTCCACTCCGGCGTACCATTGGCCGTTCCGTTCCCATCGAGCAATTTCACCGAGCCCGGCACCGACTGCAAGCCCCAAGGCAGCAACCATTCCGTCTCTGTTGCCGGATACAGGCACTGCCATTCCTTTTATAAACAGTAATCCGGCGGTCCCTCTCCCTACTGGTGAAACCGACTCTGCTACAATACGCCCATTGCCCACATCTGGTCATGGAAAACAGGTAACCCAAGTTCTTTTTTTTTTTCCTTCTTTAATCTCTCTCTCTCTCTCTCTCTCTCTCATGAAGACATTGTTGATGGGGTTTTGATTAGGAGTTTGTGCTGGCCTGCAGGTAGCAGGGTTGATTGCATTTCAAATTCCTCTCTGTTGTATGGTTTGGCTAGTTAAGCTCTGAAGCGGTTGCGTTAAATTTGGTACTTAGTTACGTGTTAGCTAAAGAGATGGTAAGCTGGGGTTTTGGTTCAATCAAAATTCAAAATTCCATATTTTGAAGAGTGAAATGAAGAGAAATGAAGAGAAAAGAGCCTTGGCCTGGAGCAACTACATTTTTTACATTACCTGTTCAAGAAAAGAAATGAAAACAGAAAAGAAAAGAAAAAGAGTGAAATGAAGAGAAAAGAGCCTTGGCCTTGTTTGTATTAGACTATTAGTAAGTACATTGCTGGGCATGGTTTGCTTTGGTGGGGAAGCGGAAGCCAATTTACTTGCCTGGTTTCCAAATTGTAAGTTTGTAATCATGAGCATCTTTGAGTCGAGCTTTCCTTTTTCCTTCAACAGTCATCTGCTCTTTTGCTTTTATTTCTTCTTCGCTTGCTGTCTGAGCCTGAGGTAAGGTGAGGCTGGATGCCAAATGGAGACTTTTGATTACCTATTCTTACACTTTCGTCTTTTTTGTGTTATTATTGTAATGATGAAGATTGATAGCTATTTAATGGTCAAAAGGACATTAAGTGAGTCTGCTACTTTTGCTAGTCGGGTTGGAGCTGGAAAGAAGTCCTCTTATCCCTCAACCAGAACTTTATTCAGGGAAAGGGTTTGGATTTTGGAACCCAAATATGCTTTCCCAAGTGAGTGCTCAAAATAAACTAATGAAGCCTCTTTTTTTCTTTTGCAATTTACATTAAAAATTTCAAGGTTGGATGGCTGGAGTTGATTAGGTAAAAGTGTACTAAGGTGTGTTCAATATAAAACTGGTGGACTGTGGGTGGGATTGATGTCTTAAGTGTTAGAATCTTTATCAGTTGGATGGTTAGATTGGATTCATGATTCCTCCTTTCATGTGGCAAAGTTAGGTGGGGTCTTGTAGGAAACGGTTCTTATGACCTTATCTAGCCATGAGCTCATGTGACTAACAAGGGTCTCTCTCTCTCCCCCACCCCCCACAAAAAAAAAAAAAAAAAAAAAAAAATTGTTTTGTCCAAGGGAACACCTTAGCTGTTTGCAGCAGTCAAGTAAGGAATCTTGTTATTAGTGCAAGACTTCGCTTGCCGTGGCACAAGTGACAACGGAGAATGGAAGTTTTCAGGCTTTCAGCTTTGTATCCTTCTGCCAGGGCAAAACAGCCACTTTGGTTTTGCTATTATTACTTTTGGAGAAATTAATGAAAATATCGATACATGGCGACTCAGTGAGGCCAGAGACGGATGTGGAAATGGAAGTTGACAGTTGACACGTGGTTAATCTTATGGGTCCCTTATTAGATATCGGGCTGACCAATCGTGTGGATGAAGACCTGCCAGCTGCCCTAAATGCTACGGAGTGTACGGTTTAAAAAAACAAATTATTCAACGATACTTCTAGTTCTTAGGCTTGTACTGTGCATGGGTCTGGGGCCGACAAAACTTGCCACATGTCTCACATTTCAAGGATCAGGACTAAACCTGTTCATTAGCCAGGCCGGGTTCGGGTTGGACTTTATCTCTGTATTAAGTATTAACGGAATATATTTAGGCTCGACCCGATCAAAAATTTGGAAAAAGATTTTTTTTGTTTTTTATCTAATAAAAAACTGATTTATTTGTATTAAAAGACCTCAAAACCTAAAAAACAATCTCACTATTACTTGAAAAAAAGTAAGAATAATAAAGAAAAAATATATTATATTATATATGTATATAATTATTATATAAACTATATCTTTATTATATAAATACATTATTAAGTCGGGCTTGGGCCGGGCTTTTTTGAGAAAGCCCAAGCCATGCCCAAGAAAAGGTCAGTCCAATATTTTGGGCCCGAGCCCGAGTCCACAGGCCTGATATTCTTGTCCAAGACCGACTTGGATCGGACCAGGCCAGGCCAGCCCGTCAAGTTACCTGGCCCATGAACAGGTCTAATCAGGATCCACATGAGATCCTAGAGACCTGTAGCAAGTGCTGATATAGACTATGGAATTTGACCACGTAACCAATCCAGTGGGTCCCCTATGGAAACTTGGACAGGAACAGGATAGCCTGGATCAGGCAATACTTATGATGAGATGAAAATGGAAAACAACATGAAATTGCTAATAATCAATGCAGTACCTATTTGAATTGCTCCTTTGTCAACCAAACCGCAACAAAGATTTGATCTGCTTTTGTCATTTTGCCTTTCCATTGACTTAGGGAAGGGAAAAGAGTTTAATAAAAAAAGAAAAGAAGAAAAACCCAAAGAACAAACACTGACCAACTTGAAAGACTACATGATGAAGCAATGAATACGTACCAGAGAAAATCCCAGAAAACTACATGATGAAGCAATGAAAAACCCAAAGAACAGGATAGCTGTATCAGACCCCTTCACAGCATCTGTTTCTCTTATCCAATTCACCAAGATCCCAGAAAACAACAGTGGAGCTGGAATTGGCACTTAAATTACCAGTACCAGAGACGACCTGGCCTCCAACCTTCGAATAGCCAAAGACCACAGGGGTCCTCTTTCCCTATTCAGAAAAACAGGGACTGGGTTCATACTGCTAATCTCAAAGGAATCTTTCCATATTTTTCATTCTCTTTTGCTTGTTTGCTTGTGAGAGTAACCGTCTTTAAACCAAAGCTCATACAGGTATCAGAAGAGGAAAAAAATCAAGATGGGATCCAAATTGGCATCAGTGGTGAAAGGCTCGTCCAGGAAATGGTTATGGGCAGATGGGAAATGCATAAGAAAGAAATAGAGGTTAAAGGATTCAAGATCATTCAGATTCCTTATGGTGTAATTCTGGATTGGATCAAGGCAAAGTTCAATAAAGAGGAGGCAATTCTTTTAATTTATATGCCCAAAATCAACAAAAAGAATACGAGGTGTTGGAATTGAGGAAATAATAGATGATAAAAATGGAGGTGAACCTGGAAAAATACCAGTTCAAGCCATCAAAGGCCAAGAAATCATGGGACCAACATAATCCACACTACATAATCAAGAACCACCTCTTCACTCAGAAATGCCAGCTCCTTCTCCAACCATAGAAGCCCAGGACAAGTTTCCTCAAGTAAAAACCAAGGAACCAGAACAATCCCAAGCATGCTGTGGTCAAGTAACTCATCTATTAGACTCAACACCAAAGAAAACCTGCAACTAAACAAATCCTAGATTGTAAACTTTGCTGGGATGAAAAATTCAATTAGGAAGTGAGACACAAAAAGGCAAAGTAACAGATAGAGAACTAGTGCCTGAAGAACATCATGAAACAAAACACCAACTGGATCAGCAATTCACCCAAGCAGATTACTGTAGACTACAGAGAATCTCCAGAGACAAAACAGGAGAGAAGCATAACTGACCAACCCACTCAAACAGAGCGAGCCTCCATCCTCGGGAAACCTTTGGTTTCATCTTCTTGATTTTGCAGGATCAATTATTCTTGTTTCTGTTGTAGCATTCATTCCACTTAAATGAAAAGAGGAAAATGACAACTGACATTCTTTTGTCTTTTCTCATCCCCTACTCTCCTTGAATTACAATAAATTAGCTACAGGGTTGATACAAATTGAAGTAATATTTGTGGATGAGTGGATCAATTCAAACAATATCTTGTCCTTTAAAGCCGTTCCGTGGTTCAGAGAATTTTGGTTCCTTCCAGACTAAACCAAAATGTCAAAACTAATGCAACTTAAAACCTTGAGCAGCTTCTTGAACCTGCACATAACTAAGATACAAAGAATAGCCAAGGTAAAATAAAACAGGAAAAATAGAGAAAAAATAAAGATTTGGATTTGATCATTAAGTGGTTGAGTACTTAATCTCCATATATCTAAAATGAACTCAAGTTTTACCTATTTAGGGTAACAATTTAGAAAGAGAAGTTTACCATTCATGCATCATGTGCAGTAGGATGGGACCCCATGGTTAAGTAGTTTCATTCAATCAGCCTCCACAAGATTTTGACAGCAAACTTGTAATCCCTTTTTAACCCAAAACATCCATTGGACAAGTCTCATATTTTAATCCCTGACTTAACTATAAGGCATCAAATATACTAAATTTCACTTTTTGCCACTTGTATTTTGTAAGCGCCACTTGTTTTTTAAAACAGTCATGAAGAAAAAGGTTTCACTATCCTGCCTTGGGGTCTGAAACTCAATGCGCCCATAACTCAGCTTCTTTCTTTCTTGAGACCTTCATGCCTGCGTTCTTGACTCAGCAGACTTCTTCAAGCTACTTAGTATGTTGTCGATAATTTCCTTCTTGCCATCCCCAACTGGATTGGAAACAAAAGAATAGTTGTTATGAGGCCTTGAACAGTTTTTCACAAGTGGGGTGGTCCCCTTGACCTCAACCCCAGAAGAATCAGATGGCTTTTAGTCAGCTCTGGAACAATCCACAACCTCATTACAATTCTGTCGTTGATCCTTCCTACCACCGTCTTTCTCATTTATCCTGGTCTTCTCCTGCCCTTCTGATCCTCGTAATGGGGAGCTATCGTCTCCTGAATCTGAATGCTCCTTATCTGACAGAAAATCATTATTAACATCTACTGGCCCTATTATTTCTTTTCCTTTTTTCCCCTTGACCTCAACCCCAGAAGAATCTGATGGCTTTGAGCAAGTTCTAGAATAATCCACAAGCTCATCACAATTCTGTGATCGATCCCTCCTACCATTGTCATCCTTAATACAGAGCCATGAATCCAGAATCTGTGACAGTGAACTGGCTTTCTCATTTATCCCGGTCTTCCCCTGCCCTTCTGATCCTTGTAATGGGGAGCGATCATCTCCTCCTGAATCTGAATGCTCCTTATCTGACAGAAAAGCATTATTAACATCTACTGGCTATATTATTTCTTTTCCTTTTTTCCCATCCACCCATGAAACCTTGAGATTTCTGTTCAAACCTGTCTCAGAAATTGGTCCAAGCTCCTCCCACAGAGGGTCACAATCATTGCCCTTTCTTGCTGAATCAGATAATTCACTGACAGAATTACTTGCTTTTCCAGATCCACTATTGCCTAGGACATTTGGAATGATGGCTTCTGGGTAGCAATCCTGTGAAAATGTTCTTGCAGGTAAGATATAAGTAGCTTCTATCCTTACCCCTGGCACGTTCTGTAGCAGAGCTGCCAGTTTTTGGTAGCCAAGTATTTGATGATCTAAAGGATAACCATATCTCACCAAAAACAACCTTTTGAAGGAACCCATGTTGAATCCTTCTGGACATTCCTCCAAAATTTCAGTCACAAGCTTCTGGCAGTGAGCTAGCATCTCGCTTCTCAACTTGGCAGAAGCTTTCTTGCTTTTAGTAAAAAGTGGTCCAGACTGAGAGTGATTCTGGTCTTTTTTCCTCTCATGTTCTGGTCCCTGCAAGTTGGATTGAGATGCAATATCTGAAAAGATTGAACTTAGCTCATTGGAACCACAAACATGAGATGGAGATTCCTTGCTTCCAGCATAAGAAATGAGTTAAAAAAGAAAATCTTGGGAGGGGTATTCCTGAATCCATTTCTTCTCGGAAATTAATATATCAACGAAGCATAGGAG